TCACCGTCGCCACGACTACTACCCGCCTGTTCAGCTAATACTTCTTGTACCTCGCCTACAGTAAGAGTCTCTTCTGTCCGTACGTATCGCCGCTTGCGGCTTTTACGCTTGTTTGATTCGTCTAGAGCCTCTTGAAGGGTGGTTATTTTCTCTGTCAAAAGTACCATCTTATGTGCCATCTGCTAAGCCCCCTTACTCAACTACGCGATCTGCTTAGTAAGTGAATTAGCAGAAGACCCACGGCGCTTTCTCACGCTCTGTTGAATAAGACTAGTTTGAGCCTCAACTTCGCGCGCGTTACGTGGTGTCTGCGCCTCCCAGGCGGCTACCCGTCGCGGTGATTGATGTGGTGTCTGCACCACTACATCAAGCTTTAATAGCACAGCCTGTGGGTCGTGTAGGACTAAACCAGCGCCTCTAAAGCCAGCTTGGATATTCTCCTTCGTAATAGACTGCTCAAAAGCAGCCTTAAAGGCTGGCAGGAAGGTCTCCTTACTAATAACTAGCCCCACCACAAAGTGCGCGCGACCACAAAGTGCGCGCGCGCCTTACAACCACCTCAACCTCAACGCGTCGTATCCCCACCACCATAGCTAATATTGAGGCTGCGCTTGCAGCTATTAATGCCCTAGGACCTAATAAGCCTTTTTCGTATATAGATATTGCAAAAAAATATAGTATTGTTTAATCTACGCTTACTTAAAGACACTAAGGCCTACACGCCTCACGCGCGATAGGTGGCCGAAAACGGCAGCTCCTCCACCTATAGCAAGAGCAGGCCCTAATCGCCTATATCAATCGACTAACAGATAGAGGCTTACCACCTACTCAGCCAATGATACGCAATTTTGCCTCACAGATCGCCAAGACTGAGGTTAGAGTACACTAGGCTAGTCGCTTCGTCTAGCGCTATCCTGATCAACTTACCTCAAGGTGGGCAAAAGGCCTTGATAACTGTCGCCACAAAGCAGATTTAAGAAGCAAATACAACCTCTACTTTAGCCTCCTACGCAATAAAATTAATCAATATCACGTTAAGGCGCGTCATATCTACAATATAGATAAGAAGGGCTTCATGCTTGGTATCGTAAGTCGTTCAAGGAGGATCTTTAGTAAGGCCTCGTACGAGGGCATAAGGAGGAGGACTACGATACAGGATGGCTCACGCCAGTAGATAACGCTGTTAGCCTGTATCTGCGCAGATGGATCTTGCCTTAAGCCTGCCCTCATATATCAATCAGCCTCAGGATCGATACAGGACACCTGGCTGCAGGCCCTTGATCCAGACATCCACCAAATTCGAATATCTTCATCACCTTCTAGATGGACGAACAATAAGACAGGCCTCGCGTGGCTGCAGCAGGTGTTTGATCGTAGTACAAAGGCGAAGGCTCGATCCTCCTATTAATTACTCGTCCTTGACGGCCATGGATCTCACGTTATAATGGATTTTATTAAGTATTGTGATGAGCATAAGATCCTCCTCGCAGTATATCCTCCTCACTTAACCCACACGCTGCAGCCTCTTGACGTTAGCATGTTTAAGCCTCTCTCAACAGCGTACTCAAACGAAGTTTCTGCCTTTATGGATAGGAGCTAAGGCCTTACTTTAATGAGTAAGAGGGATTTCTTACCCCTCTTTTAGGCTGCCTGGCAGGCCTCCTTTAAGGAAACGACGATCCTAAACGCCTTTAAGGCTACAGGGATCTCGCCTCTTAACCCAGAAGTTATCCTTCAGCGCTTTACTGTACCTGATCCTGCGACGGATAGTGACTCCTCAGCTCTTAGTGCCTCTGATTGGAGGAAGATGGAGCGTCTGCTGCGTCAGGTAGTCGCTGATTAGGGCGATAGGCAGGCCAAAAAGCTTAGCTAGGTCCTTCACTTGAGTTTAGTTTAAAACAGTCTCCTCAAGGATGAAGTAAGGAAGCTGAGAGAGGCTCTAGTTAATGAGAGAACACGTAGGAAACGAGGTAAGCCTCTACCCCTACAGGAGGCTGAGGAGTATCATGGTGGAGCTGTATTCTGGTCTCTAAGGAAGGTGAAGGAGGCGCGCGATCGCCTACAACTCCAGGAGGAGGAGGAGGAGCAACTGCAACTCTAAAAGGCTGATACGAGAAGACAGCGTGAGGAGACAAGGCAGGTTAGGGCGAGGGAGAAGGAGTAGAGGCGTCAGGCGAGGCTTGCAGTAAGTCTAATGAGGTAGAAGGAGAGGGAGGAGAAGGCTATTGAAAAGGCCTTAAGGATCGCGGCTCGCAAGGCTGCAAAACAACTTTAAAAAGCTATTAAAACTTCTTAAAGGGGTAGGAGAAGGAGCTTTATGGCTCCTGCAAAGGCTACTCAAAAAAAGAAGCCTATCGCGAGGCCTTAAGGTGGTGAGGAGCCTTAGGGAGGTGCTGCAAGCTCACCACCTCTAACCTCGCGTCGCGGCCGCGCGATTAGAACTCCGTCTCGATTTCTATAGCTGTATATATATATTAAAGCCTATTAATCTCACCACCAAAATATATCGTGATAATATCTATTTAGTGTGGCTCTATAGCCTCGTTTTTAAGGTAGTTTTGGTGAGGCCGCGCGCGCACTTTGTGGTCGCGCGCACTTTGTGGTGGGGCTACAGTGCCCGTGCACCAGATGAGCACCATCGCCAGTTGAGCACCCCCACCACCACAACAACAAAACTTCAACGCGTCAAAACTTAACTAATATGGACCCGATTCAAGAAGCGATTGCAGAAATCGAATCGCGAGAACTAGGAGATAAATTCTCGTATCAAGCAATCGCGAAAAAGCATGGTGTAGCACGAATGACGTTGATGAGACGACACCGCGGCGAAACTGAGGCCTATGGCGTGCGCAACCTCTCCCTCCATCCAA